CAATACCAAATTTCACAAGCACAAGCACTATCTATTCACCCAAAACTAAATTGTACCGAAAATAGTACCATTTACTACTTTTCGTACACTTCCAAGACCACCACTTTATCAAACTCCGACCACCAACAAGGATCTCAATATAAAATTTCAAGATACCAGCTTCATCCACTTATCGAAAACATAACTGTTCCCAATTTATTACCATTTAGTACAGTTCCCACACTAAGTACATATTTCTAAACCTACGTCCATATCTCAATCTTAGATACTAACAGAGGGCTCAATATTAAATTTGAGAATACCAGCCTTATCCCTTTACCCAGTACCAAATTTAGTACCATTTGGTATTTTTCGTACAAATATTGGACACATTTCCCAACCGCCGCCAAGTTTGAAACACAGAAACCGTCAGTAATGCAAAGTTCAGAATTTTATCTCCATCCCTTCACCCAATACCAAAATTAGTACCATTCAGTACTCTTCGTACAATTATAGTACACATTTCCGAAATCACCTCTATATTTCCAAGTTAAACATTAACAGCGACCCCAATATCAAATATCACATTTCAAGCACTATCTGCTTAATAATAAATAAAACAATCTGCAATACCAAATTGTACCGAACATAGTACTATTTAGTACTTTTCGTGCACTTGTAGTACACATTTTCAAAAACATCTCTTTATTACAAACCTATCACTAAAAGGGACCCCAATACCAAATTTCACAATTCCAGCTTCATGCGGTCACATTGAACAAAATGGTACCGAATCTAGTACCATTTAGTACAGTTTGCACACTTAGTACACCTTTCCAAAAACCACCTTTATATATCAAACTTACTTTCCAAACTTGTTTTTAAAACCAAAGTTCAAGTTTTTAGCTCTATCCGTTCACATAATAGAAAATGGTACCATTTTAGAAGTTTAGTACCATTGCAGAGACTTTCGTATCCTTAAAGTTCGAATTTCCAAAGACTCTTTGTGCATCAATCCTGCATTCTATCAGTGACTCTCATTCCAAATTTCAGAATTCTAGCTCAATCCGTTTGTCCTTTACCAAGTATTCAAATTTTAGTACATTTTAGTACTTTTCTAGAAACACCGCCTTGTCACACACCTACGCACCAATATTGAACCTCATGCAAACTTTCAAAATTCCAGCTTCAGTCGTTTCGTCTGTGCGTCAATTCTCGATCAGCCAGTCAGCTATTTCACTACTCTTTTATATATAGTTTTAAAGATCAGATGTCAACCTACTTTCAGTAAAAGACATAGGCATATGGTCCCAAAAAGGTCCCAAACTTTTTATTCTGAAAATAGTGTCATATAGTCATGCAAAAGATATATGCTCCTTTGTGCCTCGTGACATGAGACCATGCTCAATTTCGTGGCAATTGTCCTGTATTGACATCCTCTGTTGAGCTATTTGGGATTAAAAAAAAAAATATTTTAAAATCCACCAAATTCGTCAAAATCCACTGCTTACCCCTTCTGGCATGTTTGCAATCATGCACATATTGGGGGTGGGGGTAAAATAAAATTGTCCATGGCAACATTCATTTGTTGTTCGAAATACATGTAAATCCTCAAAACGTTTGTGGTCCAAACAGTCAGGGTCGTTCAATCACTCTGTGCCATCACCAAATGTAAGACAGAGTCAACCTCTTTCTCAGTGTCTGTCTGTGGCACTCGTTGCTTTTTCTGTTTGATGATTGTCCTGGATAAAACTGTGCACGGGCACAGTCACATGCATTCCTTTTGATATTTCTTTCTTCTTCTCCGCCGCCGTCGTCATCGTCGTCGTCTTTTGGCAATTGCCCCGACAATTTTATTGTCCTAAATGTGAATGACTTCATGACGCACAGAAATAAAGTCAAATTCATTTCGAAGAGGATATTAACATGCGTTTGCCAGTCATCATAAAAATATTGCATTTTTATGGGTTTCTTTGTTTTACGTGTTTGAATTTATGTAGAACGTGCCGACATTGTGGCTCACCCGCTGGGTTAGATGGGCTTTGATAGGTTGGCTGCCTGGTGGCAGGATATCTGCATGAATAACATGGAATATGTTAAGACATTTATCCAAAGGCCACTTTATGTTCTCAATTTTTGTTAGAAATATGAAGTAGCATGAACGCGCATGCATGCATGTGGAAATGTATGTTGGAATTTGTGCTTTGAGTTTGTGTGATGAAGTTGTTGTGAGGGGGTAAGGGTAGAGAGGGGGGCTCGTGAAGTTTTAAATAGAAGCAATATTCTGCGATGTAAAGACAGTCTTGAAAAAATCCTAGATTAATGTTTGGATAATCCTTTTTAAAAAATCCACGTCCTTCAGAAGTCCTTAGAAATACATTTTAAAAATCCAGACATAGGGCTTTAAAACTCCTTCAGTAATCTTTGGAAAAATATTTTAAAAAGTACAGCATTATGGCCTCCAAAAATCTTTAGAAAAATATTAAAAAACACGTTTATAGACTCAATAGTCCTTGAAAAAATATATTTTTACAAAAACCACATTTATGGCCACTAAAGACCTTGAAAAAATATATTTTTAAAAATCCAAGTTTATGACCTCAATTGTATTCGGAAGTCCTTCGAAAAATAGTAAAAAAATAAATGTATGTGGCTTCAATAGTCCTTGGAAAAAAATACTTAAAAAATACATTAAAAAAAAACGGATGTGGCATCAAAAGTCCGTCACTTACCGTGGAAAAATATTTGAGAAAACCACGTTTATGGCCTCAAAAGTCCGTCAGTTGTCCTTGGAAAAATATTTTTACAAAACACGTTTATGGACTCAAAAGTCCGTCAGTTGTACTTGGAAAAATATTAAAAAACACGTTTATGGCCTCAATAGTCCTTGGAAAAAATATTTTTAAAAATCTACGTTTATGGCCTCAATAGTCCTTGGAAAAAATATATTTAAAAATCCACGTTTATGGCTCCAATAGTCTTTGGAAAAAATATTTTTAAAAATCCACATTTATGGCCTCAATAGTCCTTGGAAAAAATATTTTTGAAAATCCACGTTTATGGCTTCAATAGTCCTTTAGTAGTCCTTGGAAAAAATATTTTTGAAAATCCACGTTTATGGCTTCAATAGTCCTTTAGTAGTCCTTGGAAAAAATATTTTTGAAAATCCACGTTTATGGCTTCATTAGTCCTTTAGTAGTCCTTGGAAAAAATATTTTTGAAAATCCACGTTTATGGCTTCAATAGTCCTTTAGTAGTCCTTGGAAAAAATATTTTTAAAAATCCACGCTTATGGCTTCAATAGTCCTTTAGTAGTCCTTGGAAAAAATATTTTTGAAAATCCACGTTTATGGCTTCAATAGTCCTTTAGTAGTCCTTGGAAAAAATATTTTTGAAAATCCACGTTTATGGCTTCAATAGTCCTTTAGTAGTCCTTGGAAAAAATATTTTTGAAAATCCACGTTTATTGCTTCAATAATCCTTTAGTAGTCCTTGGAAAAAATATTTTTAAAAATCCACGTTTAAGGCCTCATTAGTTATTTAGTAGTCATTGGAAAAATATTTTTAAAAATCCACGTTTAAGGCCTCATTAGTCCTTTAGTAGTCCTTGGAAAAAATATTTTTAAAAATTCACGTTTAAGGCCTCATTAGTCCTTTAGTAGTCCTTGGAAAAAATATTTTTAAAAATCCACGTTTAAGGCCTCATTAGTCCTTTAGTAGTCCTTGGAAAAAATATTTTTAAAAATCCACGTTTAAGGCCTCATTAGTCCTTTAGTAGTCCTTGGAAAAAATATTATTAAAAATCCACGTTAAAGGCCTCATTAGTCCTTTAGTAGTCCTTGGAAAAATATTTTTAAAAATCCACGTTTAAGGCCTCATTAGTCCTTTAGTAGTCCTTGGAAAAAATATTTTTAAAAATCCACGTTTACAGCCACAATAGTCCTTGGAAAAAATATTTTTAAAAATCCACGTTTAAGGCCAACCAAAATAGTCCTTCGAAAAAATATTTTTAAAAAATCGACGTATATGGCACCGATAGTCCTTGGAAAAATATTTTTAAAAAATACACGTTTATGGCACCGATAGTCCTTGGAAAAATATTTTTAAAAAATCCACGTTTATGGCCTAAATAGTCCTTGGAAAAATATTTTAAAAAAATCCTCGTTTAAGGCCAAAATAGTCCTTCGAAAAAATATTTTAAAAAATCCACGTTTATGGCCTAAATAGTCCTTGGAAAAATATTTTTAAAAGAATCTACGTTTATGGCCTAAATAGTCCTTGGAAAAATATTTTTTAAAAATCCAGGTTTATGTCCTAAATAGTCCTTGAAAAAATATTTAAAAAAATCCACGTTTATGGCCTAAATAGTCCTAGAAAAAATATTTATAAAAACCCACGTTTATGGTCTAAATAGTCCTTGAAAAAATATTTTAAAAAATCCACGTTTATGGCCTTAATAGTCCTTCCACGTCTATGGGCTCAGTAGTGATTAAAAAATATTTTTAAAAAATCCACATTTATGGCCACTAAAGACATTGAAAAAATATTTTTAAAAAATTCACTTTTATGGCCTCAGTAGTCCTTGGAAAAATATTTTTAAAAAATCCACGTTTATGGGCTCAGTACTTCTTGAAAAAATATATTTAAAAATTCACATTTTTGGCCTGAATAGTGCTTAAAAAAATATTTTTAAAAAGTCCACATTTATGGCCTTAGTCTTTCGAAAAATATTTTTTAAAAGTCCACGTTTATGGCCTCAATAGTCCTTGGAAACATTAAAAAAACACAGGTTATGGCCACAATAGTCCTTCGAAAAAATATTTTTAAGAAATCCACTTTTGTGGCCTCAATAGTCCTTGTAAAAATATTTTAAAAAAATCCAATTTTGTGGCCTCCATAGTCCTTGGAAGAACATGTTTAAATAATCCACGTTTATGGCTTGAATAGTTCTTGGAAAAAATATGTATAAAAAATTCACATTATTTTGCCGTTTGTTAATTATTTATTTTTTCTTATTTCAGATTGAATGTTAAGATGTATGGAAAGGTAAGTTGAACTACCAGAGATTTTTTTATAAAAAAATTAAGAACTTCTGAAATATGCAAAAATACCAACTAATACAGTTTGGGGGGTAATCTATAGTTGTCATCTGATTCCATTTGGCGCTCCATCTTCTAAGTTGACTTTATAAGTTGACCATTCCAATACACAATACCCCCAGTACAATCTCTCATTTCTTTATGTTATGACATCTAATTAAATTCCAGGCAAAAGGCCTACATTTTACATGACACGAAGTAATTTATTGACAAATGCAATTGAAAATGGTCAACAGGACAAATTGTCCTGCTGTATGTGATCTGCATAATACCATTATTATATTGTCATTTACATATTGACGGGCGCAAGTGGACATCTTAGGAATGCCATTAGAATAGAGAAAGAAGGCATTTTCTTCTTGTCATTACAAGAGGACTAAAGGAGGGACGGACGGACGGAAGAAAGCACTTAACACACTCACAGCAATTTTGCATAGATTTTATTATGGTCATGGGTCATGATGAGAATGATGATGTCAAAATCAAATGAATTATTTATTGGTTATAGAACATCAATACATACATACTTATATTTTAACGAGGGTGGTGTTGAAAGTTTGTAACAGCATTTAATGAAATTGTATCTCAGTGTGGAACTGTGGAGTTGACCTGCAGCATCTTAAAAGCATTTTAATCATTAGCTCCATAGAAGGGGCTTTTATTTAGGATTTTTCACAGGTACACATATAGATCCAAAAAGCCACTGTTAATTTGAATATAGGACAAGAGAAGTTCGGCAGTTGAAAGTATACAGATTAAACTGGATTTTGCACCAGCAACCTGCCTGCTGGGGTCCGTTACACTTATAAAGGCAAAAGATTTCTGGTAGTTTTAGTAACTGCTTTACCTACTCAACCTTCAATATATCCATTTTTGCGCATGCATTGTTCTGCTCTTGGATTTTGGGCAAAACAAAGTTGAATGTAATGTTCCGGTGGCACCCACCATTTAAAGTTGTGTTTCGATTTGTAGTATCTTTGAAGAAGTACGGTCCAATGATGTCATCAGCCCATAGCCCAGACAAAACTGTGCTGGATGGATTGGTAGTTTTTCCAACGCTTCTGCCTGATCTACACTCCAAAATCGATAATTTTGCTACTATCCACCTTAAAATTTTAGATTAGTACTAAAAATGTACAATTTGTTTATTACGTCTTGGACAAAAAAAAAAAAAAAAAAAAAAAAAAAAAAAAAAAAACGTCATACATCGTACTAAATTTTCAGATTTTTAAGTTTTACCTTTTTCGGTAATAATAATAGTAGAACGTGTACTTTTTTCACCAAAAAATCTTCAAAAAACAAAAACAAATATGTAAGTCCTGGAAACCAACAGCGACCACAACATAAAATTTCAGGATTTCAGTTGTATGCCCTCACCCAATACCAACAATGATCTGAAATAGGTGCCATGCAGTGCTTTTTGAAGAATTTTAGACACGATTTAAAAACCTCATATCAACAGAGTCCTTAATATTTACGTAGATGATTCCCGCCCTATCCCTTCAGTCAATACCAAATTTAGTACATTTTAGTACTCTTCGTAGAAATATAAGACACATTTTTAAACGCACCTCCACATATCAAATTTCAAATTTAGAATTTAGATTCCAGCTCCATTCCTTCACGTAATACCAAATTTAGTGCTTCTTTTTACTTTTCGAACAATTATAGTATTTTAATGATTTTAGCTACATTATTACCGATTTTTTTCAAGTTTCGCATTTGAATATTGTAGTGGCTTATGACAAATGTTACCTATGCAGGTCCATGTCGTCGTATATATCCTAATATAGCGGTGGAGGTGGTTTCGGATATGGAGGTGGTTTCGGAAATGTGCACTATAATTATACTAAAAGTTCGGTAAAAATACCGAATGTAGCTATTTTTACCGAACTTTTAGTATAATTATAGTGCACATTTCCGAAACCACCTCCATATGTCCAGGTTGCACATAAAGAGCTATCTCCTCACCCCATACAAAATTGTACCAAATATAGCACTATTTAGTACTTTTCGTGCACTTGTAGTATAAATTTCCAAAACCACCTCAAAGCGTGCTTCATCGAAATAAGGGTTTTAGACCCAGGTGTCTTTGGGCCAAATCCGTTTCATGATATTTGGAGTCGATCTAGCGATGTTCGTCCATCCGTCTGTCTGTCTGGCCACTCGACCCACTCCTTCTGGTACCTCCCCCACAAAAGGTCAAAATTTTCATAGAAAATAATTAACCGCTGAGGAAAAGAACGGATAACCTGTGTTTGTACCAACTTTGCAAATCATGATTTTTTGCATTACCGCAGGATCGGGAGCGAGTATGAACAAGATCGGACTACTCCTTGTAGAACCTCGCCCACAAAGGGTATAAATAATGCATAATTATAACTTTCATAAAATGTGATGTAAGAGTAAGATTGTCTTTAAATTACACACACCACAATATGTTTCAGACCAGAACTTGGGTTAGGTCTGAAGATGGAATATATCGGTCAACTCCTTCTGGTACCTCCCCCACAAAGGGCCAACACTTTTAATTATTCATAAATCTCATAAAGCGAAATTAACATACCATTCCATTCAGATTTGGCACATCTCAATACCATTCCTTCTGGTACCGCCCTCACAAGGGGTCAAAGTTTTGAATAATCAAAACGATTATAAAATCCGAAATAAGCATCCAGTTCTCCTCATATTTCACACATCCCATTATTTCTACTAACACAAGATGTGCTACGAAGATGGCATATTCGGCCCACCCCTTCTGGTACCTCCCCCACAAAGGGTCAACATTTTAAATATCCATGAAGCTCATAAAACGCGAAATTAACATCCGATTCCATTCAGACTTGGCACATCTCAATATTTCCATCAACGATGGTAGAAGAAATCGGATCATTTTTTCTGGTACTTCCACCAAAAAGGTCAAAAAGATTACAAAATCCGAAATATGCATGCGGTTCACTTCATATTTCACACATTCCGTCTCTATTTGCGAAGAACGCGTATTTATTTTTCATGTAATTATATGTTTGTGTTGTACAGCGTAATTCATCGATTCCTATGACGCTTCTTGAGCAGCCTGCAATGCCGGTTGCCTGAATGTAGGACTATTAGGATTGGACTGCTGACGCTTTCAACGATCATAAGCTACTGATGCTGCTTTCAATGGGAAGTATGGGCTTACTTTGTGTTTTAGAACAGCAACTGCCCGAACATCACAAAATTTGGTCAGTTCTCAGGGGGGATGGTTGGTGAACTCTCTGAAATCCCTCAGATATATCAAGGCTTAAGTTTCGATATCTTGATATTTTTGGCGCATAGGCAGAAAGTTCTTAATTTACAATTTTTAGAACTTCTTTTTACACTCCACCCCCCCTACTCATAACCCTTAACCCGCTTCTAGAATATATTTATCGGCTTAAGTTTCGATATCTAGACGTTTGAGGAGCAAGGCTTGCATTCAGAAGGAAGGGGATTTCCCAGTTTAGATTTTTTTGGGATCGACGTCACCCCCTCCTGACACGCTTCCCATTAACAATGCTTATAGAGCTGACAACCCACATATATGTGGAAAAAACTGGAGTACTCTCTACCAGAGACATGTACTCAACATTCCGCATGGCTGTCATACATTTCGCCAAGTAAAACGGAAAATTTGTTCCTGTAAATGAGTAATGGTGTTAGGATGTATTGTTCCTAGCCTTTGAAAAAATAAAACAAAAACAACAATATAAATATTCCATGAAGAAGAAGCAGAAGTAGGAATTTTCTAATTTACTCCCAAACAACAAATGAAGTGCATTCATTCCTACAGTCACTACATCAGTCAGTGAGTCATTCATTCATTCACTCATATAAAAATATACAAAGGCAGAAATTATGCAATGCTGCTGCAACTTCTCGCTGTCTTCCTCTGTCGTCTTGTTATGCGTTTGACATCGTCTGGCGGGAAACAGAGAGCAAAAGGAGTGCATGAAAGAAGATGGAACAGCAACAACAACAGTGCCATGAAATAAGCACTTAGCCATTCTTGTTGGATATTTCTCAAAGGGTGGGTGGTGGATGGCACACCCAACCTCACATTCATCCTTGCATTGTCATTCCAAGGATTGTTGTCATTGCCATAGCAGAGCCAAGCAAATGCCTTCGTTGTCATCGTCGTCGTCGTGGTACTACATCCTCAAGAATGCCGGAATGTTTGCTGTTATTGGCATATTTTAGCTTTTAGCTGTTGGTTATGTCTTCTCTGCCGTTGATGGGTTTTTGGAACGCAAAAGACGGCTTTTAGCCAAGCGATTCTCTATCATTCGTTCACTGCAGGAAATCTTAAAAATACTTGAAGATTTTTTGTCTTTAGAAAGTGTCTTTTCCTCCGTTCATCTTCTCCATCCTCATCTCATCTACTGGCCGCTGCAGTGCAATATATATTTCCTTCCCCAGAAAGGGGTAGGCGTCATTTGTTGGCATTGGACAACATGGATGCTGCCACAGCTATTGCTGCTCCACATGATGATAGCGATTTATCTAATACTTTTATTACATCAAGAGATTTATTTAGTCTTATATGCGAAAATCCATAAAAAGGATAACGTTTTATCAGCCATGCAACCAAAATGCCAATCACGTACATCTCGGAATTGCGGTGTTTTTGTTCGAAACGGGTTATTTGCAAAAATCAATAAAAGAAAGGGGTTAGCGATAAAATGGCGACCATTTGACATTCATGGCTTGGGTGTTTGGTAATAAGAGAATGCCAAAGATCAGCAATAAGGATATAACTCGGTATTAAAAGAAAAATAACGCGGCAATTCTGGCGGATTACAGAGGACGTTTTGAGAGAAAATGGAGAGCTACAATCCTAAATTGTACTGAAGTGATGTTGAGAAACCAGGAGTGACGACATAAAAGTCTACTTAGGTCTAAGAATACATCAACACTCTAAATCTAACT